ATCCAAACCATCCTAACCACCGAATACCCAAACCAGCCCACCACCACAACCCTAAAACCACTAACAACCACCAAAATTCACCACTTGAAAACCAAAAAATAAAATAAATATATTTAAAAAAAAACTAAATTGAAAACAAAAGAAAAAAAAATCTAGATCTACAACACTAACCTGCTCGGATTTTTGCTCGGATTTTGCTCGTTTTTTCCTCGGATTTTTGCCGGTGATAAGAGGAGAGAGAAAACAAAGGGAGGCTTAAGAAAGGAGAAGGAAAGAGCAGAAAGAGAATGAAGGAGATGGAGAGAGGAGAGGAGTAAGAAATGACGGAAGAAGGGGCGTGAGAAAAGGGGAGAGAGGAGAGAGAAGAAGAAGGGGTGTGAGAAAAGGGGGGAGAGGAGAGAGAAGAAGAAGGGGCGTGAGAAATAAGGGGGGAGAGAAGAAATAAGGGAGCTGAGAGAGGGGTCAGTGTTTTTTTTTTGGGGGAATGGGGAGCGGTTTACCTCCAAACCGCTTCTAATTACAATATTTAGAAGCGGTTCAAACCAAACCGCTTCCAATTCTCCTCTTTTTTTTTCCCAGGTTTTTGTATGAAATTGGAAGCGGATTCCAATAACCGCTTCTAATTAGTGGCTTCCCATTACCTATTTTCTACTAGTGTTGTGCTGAGTAATGCGATGGAATAATTACAGATTTTGGATATTTATATATGTAGTACATTTGATATGCTTTGGTCATGTACAAATACCACAATGGCTAAATATGTAGCCAGTTTTACTGTTCCTTTTAAAGTTGAACGTTCAAAAAAACTGGTGTGCAATTTAATGTCATTATAGTAGTATGTGTATAGTTAGTTTATGTTTCTTCTAATTGTGTTTGTCAATTTTTATGCAGCGACTTCCTTGTGGTTTTAAAGACATGTTAGATGATGGGTTTTTAAACATTGAAATAATCATCATTTGTAGTCAGGAAAGCGGGTATGCTAGTCTAGTGCATGAGGAATGTGGTAGTGGCTGGGAAATTATATTGACTGTGGGTGGTCAGATTTTGTTTACGATAAAGATGTAGTTGTGGGAGACCGGTTAGTGTTCACTTACACCGGAGGTAGCACGTTCTACGTAAAAATCTTTAACTCTAATGGAGTAGAAAAAAATAAATGGGCCTACATCAGTGGAGATCTTCATGTACCTAGAAGACGGGGTCGAAAGTCAGCTCTTGAGAGTTCTTCAAAGAAGATGATTGAAACTAATGTTGTTCTTGATATTATTGCTACCACTTGTGGCTTACCAAATTTTGGGTTTTCATTTCTTGAAAATTACCGTAACAAAAGAATTATTGTATGTTGCATTTGTAGTTCATTTTAGCTACAGGAATTTGTCATGTTTACTCAGTTTTACTAATGCCAACTATTTTATTTTGCAGAATGTCGCATTGTGCTAAACAATATTTTGATAGATACCCACAGTCAACTGATGTTATCGTACAAGCAGGTAAAACACAAGTCGAGGCTTAGCTTAAGATTGTGAGGACATGCAATGTCATTACTCAGTGTACTATAAGAAATGGTGTGAGTGCTTTGATGGAGCGTTATTGAGTTCAAGAAAGTGCTCTTATTAAGTACATAAAAGGGCCTCCTATAATATTTCACATTCATTTAGTACAAATGTAAGTGCAAATGTAAGTGCTAATGACAGTGATGTGCGAATCGCATGTGTTAAGAATTTACACGTAGTATCATGTAATAATAACAATTTCCTGCACTTAGTAACATGTAATAATACGCACTTTACTTCCTACACGTAGTATCATTACAATAAAATTTCCTTTTCTACGGCGTAAATAATAACATTTTCCTGCACTTGGTAACATGTAATAATATGCAGACTTTACTTCCTGCACTTCTTGCAATGGAACAAAAGAACATGATACCATTGAGGACATGTTAATTTCTGAATGAAGTTGATTTCATAAATGTGCTAACACATTTGCTGTAATTGCTATTGTTTCCGTGAACTTTTACCCTATATTGACACTCAAAATGCTATATCAATATCCAAAAATCCAAAATATTAGTCATACATCGATATCCAAAATGTAAGTGATATGTCGATATCCAAAGATATACACCAAACTATAGTGTTTCCATCTTGGTTAGACACATAAGTCTTTAATCAACTCTTGTACATATGCCCTGGCTTCGTTGAATTCTGACATGACGTCTTCACACAACAGCCATGCTCTCTCATATGCCATATCACTTACCTGAGTCCATTTATTTACATACAAATTTGCATTCTATAGTGAAAATGATTTTTAGGAAGAAATGTAATCTAACCTCTTCCATCTCGGTTATGAAGCTCTGCGCATTTCTCTTAATAGCCATTAACATATGTATTCCACAACTATGGCTGTAATAACATAACACACAACTGAGAACACAATTGAGTACAGCCATAATACGTCACATTTGTAATATCGAACTTACATATCTCTGAGGGGCCATATGCAGAGCTCTTCGGGGCCAACGCAAAATGGTGTCCTTTCGCCATCCACTGTCCAATACCTGGAATGCTATATCCATTGCGATGGCCTAATAAAAAATCCATTAGATTGATGAGAGGAGCGTAACCATAGGTTTAAAACGAAAACTATCCATAAATCATTCACATTGCCTTACCATCTTTAGCACATCAACACGATTGACTTCTAATGATTTTGTTGTATTTAAAGAATCCATAACTAAAATCTCTTCCCTATTTAGGGAAAATGCAACACAGAATCAGTGGGAAGTTCGAAGGACTGGAACAAAAACCTATTATCAACCAATTAACAAACCAATAAGCAATAAATAAGTAAAAAAAAAAAAAATTCAACTACAACTTGTTTGAATAGGCTGTTGAATTAGTAAGATTTTACCACATATACTCTGTTTAGAGGGGTGCCTTTCATATGGGTACTGTATGACTTTGCTATCCTCTGCATATCAATCTCACGACCCCTTGTGTTTTGGACCAATATCTACATAACACAGTATACTCACTTAAATAGGCAATATCCATACTTATAGTGAAAGTATTTAACAAAAGAATTTACAGCTGTAGTAAAAAGAAGTTATGTTACCGCAAACGAGGGGGTCAAGCATGAATCTCCTGCTGTGATCACCAAATTGTTTCTCCCAAACCTTTTCATATAGTTTAGAACATACCCTCACATACTGCAAAAAAATAATCAACCTATTAAACCACATGACATTTGATACGTATTCAATCGTTATAAAGATCTCTTTATAAAAGAACTAATCAAACCTAACCTGGTCAATAACCATGCCATTCTGATGGACTATTAACCCACAGTAACCAAGCTTAGCATATTCTCCCCCGCATTTGAGGAATGTGTGTTCAGACCTGTAACAGCGTAGAACCAAACTTATATCAAAGTTTATATTAAAATAGATTGCATATTACGTGTGTGTTCTACCGTTTAACATTGAATAATAATCACTCATGTTGTGAGAACCTTGGTGAAGATTTTGAGTTGTCCATCACATACTGAAAAAGAGGTTCAAAATACCTCCTTATACACTTTGGACTCCAAGTTCTTACGTACGAGGCTTCTAATAAAGCAGGAGCCAGCTTCCTTCATTTTTTGCTTCTCTCCGTTTTCCTTCTCAGCATTTGCTGTTGAGCTTTGGTCACCTTCTGATGCGGAGTTACATGTTCCTCTTCAGACGAGTAACTAATGTACTTGTCTACTTCTCTCGGTTCTGGAACCTCACCTACACCTACTTCAGTCGTTCCTTTTTAACAGCTTTGGTGTTATAACTGCAGCTTGTCCGCTACAAGAAGATAGCAATATAAGAATCTCAACATTCAACTATAGACCAACACCAGCCATAGCACAACACAAGATGTAAAGCTCATCAACTTTCAACATTTCATCTATAAAAAGGGTTGTTTGGTTAACTGTTTAGTGTTTACAATATGCCCTTAATTATCATGAATCATAAACTCATAACCATGCAATTTCCAAAAGTATTCTTGATAAACATACAAGACTAAATTAGCCAATGGAAAAACTTCAACAAGACCTCAAAAATTCAAAATACATCTTCATACTTAAAAGAAACAAGTGGAATAGAGGAGGGTACCATCAATGGCGTACTTACACCTTTGGGCTGCTGACTAGTTTGAGCAGTCTTCAACTCAACACTTCCCCTACCACTAGGCGCCACTAGAATATCAGCAATATGTTTACCATCCAAGAGAGACTGCTTAAAACCTGTAGAAGCAGTTTGAGCTCCCTATTCCCGCTATTTGAGGAAATTTTCAAAGTCTTCAAGATTTAATGAATAATAGGATTCTAATGGCAACCCTCCCTCGGGTTTACTCAGCACATACTTTGTACCACTAGGACTGAACCCCACTTCCTGATCATTAGATGTGTACTTTATCGTAGACAATATTCGATCAACATCTATTTCATCATCTTCTTCAACATCTGGATCAACATTTATATCCATGTCTTCAACAACAACTCCATCAGCAACCTGTCAGTACAAGGCATAAGAATCAGATTACATGTATGGGACATAAGACTTGGCACAATAATTAATAATCATACCTATGTATCAACAAAGTATTATTGTCAATAGAATTGATACAGTATAGAATATTGTCAAAATAGTCACACACAAGTAAAATTTTATTGTCAGAGTTTATGCTCTGATTGTCAAAGTTGCATATAAAATATTCAAAAAAAATTTCACTAAATCACTCTGTCAACAAAGACAAAATTATTGTTAGAAATAATGTTGTGAGTGTCAAACTTTTACATAAAGTTTTATTGTCAAATTTTCAAAAAATCTTTCCAAAAAATCAAACTGTCAATAAAGAGTATCAAACAATTCTACCGCAACATTTACAACAACAAGGCTTAAACACTTGACAAAAATTGTATTTTGTAGCTTAGTAAGGAAAATCAGAGATAACCTACTGAAGGTCACCATGCACATGCTTCACCTGGGTAGGCTCCAGATGCATAGGGTTCCCTTGGTCAGGTTTGAGATTTGCACTCCTCTACAGGTTATGCCTGCTGATGCTGCTCATCAAGGACCTCACCCTTCTCAAGTAAAGGTATACCCTGCTCATCAGGGACAACCTTAGGGATAACTTCATGAATATGACCGTGCTTAGGTTCATGGACATCGTTGTCTAGCTCAGGGACCTCCTTCTATGGTTCAGGTTCTTTCGGAGTTTCATGGACCTCATGACCTTGGACCTCATGAGCTTGGTCATCATGTCCTTTACCTTGGTCATCATAGGCCTTAGGATTATCAACAGGCTGCAACTTAGATGCCTGCACATCATCATTCTTAGGCTCCTTCTCATCCCCAGTGAGGAATTCATCCTCCCCTGTTTGATATTCGTCATCATTTGCATCATGAAATTGTTGAGCCTCACCATCAGTCTGACCATCTTGGTGAGCCTCTTCATCAAGGTGGGAATGCTGATGATCTTGGTGATGATGTTGGTGATGAGGCTAATTATGGTCAAGATGCAACTGGTGGTGTTCTTGTTGATGCTCAAGATGCTGATGGTGTTCATGTTCATGCTGCAACTGGTGGTCTTCATGTTTATGCTCATGCTGCTGATGGTGATGGTCAGGATGATGGTCATGATGATGGTCAGGCTAAGGGTCATCATGCACATCAGCAACAGTCTGAGTATCATGCTGATTGTCATGATGATGGTCAGTCTGAACATCAGCATCAGTCTGAGCATCATGCTGATGTTCATGATGCTGACCTTGGTGATCCGTATTGGTTGTAGTTGCTTCATCCCTTTCTTGAACTTTTAAAACAAAAAATAATTCCTTGGATCTTATCTTATATTCACATCTAAGATTCAAGACTTAAAGAGTAAAGAGTAAAGACTAAAGAATAAAGACTTAAATATTGTGTGTGGTCAATTTGTGTTTTGAAAATGCCCTTGGACATTACCTTTATTGCTTGTTTTACTCATGCATTTTCTGCCATCCTTTTTGGTTGCCTTAGTATTCGGTAACTGTGTTCCTCCAACTCCATCGGTTTCCGTTAAAACAAGAGTAAAATAACACATGAATAACTTAATGAACATTACCTATACTTAATGAACATGTCAACATTACCTAACTTATTTGGATATATTAAATACATTACCTATACTTTTTTTTTCCTATCACAAGGAGCCACATCGGTTGTAGCAGTCCTCCTCCCTTTAACATTTTGTTATCTCAATCTCAAGTCCTCCTCATCAATGTCAAGAACATCCTCTTCATCTTCACTCGAATCGTACCACTTTCTCCTTCTTCTACAAGGGAGTTCATCCGGCGCGAGATTTGGATGCTTACCTTTCCCGTATGCTATATTCAAACACTAAATAACATACCATACACCATAAATAAGTAAAAATTACCATCATGTATTAATTCAAAATCAGCAGTAAAAACCTTGACAAATACTTACCCCTAACTTTCTATAATCACCAGTCTCTAACTTGTCGTCTCTGGCTGCTTTGTTCATCTTTTCTCTCATCCAAGCTTTTATCCTCGACAAACCCTCCACTTCATTGGAGTCCTGTCTAACCTATCCAAGTACAAAACCTGCATTTTCACCCATACACATACATTATAAACCAATGTTTGGAATACAAAATACAAAATAAAATCCCCAAACCAATTTTACTTTAACCGATGGAAAGTGGTTGAACAAAGGACATTCAACATATACATCAAAAACACGTTCCTAAACTCGCTCTCATCATCGCAAGGAGCCTCCACAGCTTCTAGAATAGTCTTCAACCCTGTTCTTTTGAGTTGTTCTGCTTTACTCTGCCCTGCTCTGCTCTGCTCTACTCTGCTGTGCTCTGCCCTGACCTGCTCTACTCTTCTTAAAAATAATAATAATTAATATTTAACAAACATAATAATAATAATTATTAATATTTAATAATAATAACTAATATTTATAGATAATTATTTCGGGGCTTTCTGATGTGTCCTGCGGGAGAGTTACAATTCCAAGAATGCCCTTCGACCGCCTGCACCTGCAAAACCACGAAGACTCCGGTTAGGTGGAGCTCCGCCTCCGACGATCAAGTTAGTGATGTACGGGAGGAAGAAAGTGTGTAAAAGAGGAATTACTTCTCGCGTAATGGGAGAATTCCGCAATTAAGATTGCTCGGTTTTAGTGTAAAATGTATTTATGATAGTATTGAATGCCAATTGATTGTAAATGAATAATTGAATCCCCATTAATGAGGACTCCCCCACTATTTATAGTGGGGAGCATTGGTTCCCCATTTAGGGTTCCTAGGACACGTGTCAGCAGGGGATTGGAGCCCTGCTGACCAATAGCCGGATGCCACGTGTCGCGCTGCCATTGGGCCACGTGGCTGGGGTAATTTTACCCCAAACATTTGCCCCTCTCAGGTGGTGACGTGGCAAGGTGCCACGTGGCACCTGAGAAGAGAGCTGACGAATATATATATATATATATATATATATATATATATATATATATATATTTATTTATTTTTTTTTATTTTTTTGAAACCCCTTCAAATTCTAACTGAAGGAAGAGGGAAAAGCAGAAGGGGAAGGGTCGCGCCCCTTCGCCTTCCGGGACAAACCCTATAAATAGGGGAGGAAGCACACGAAGCCTCATTTACAAACTTCGTGAAATTTCTCGAATTTTGAGAGCATCCGGCATTTCAGAGCATCCGGTACTTGAAATTCAGAGCACACGGAGACTTCATTGTTTTAAGAGAAGCTGGTTTTCAGACCGCCTGTGCAGTTGTAAGCAAGAAAAAGTTTTTCGAGAGGGTACCTCAGAGAACCCAGCCGGTATTCAAACCGCCTGTGTCTTCGCAAGCATCCCCAAGAAATTTCTTGAGGTTTTCAACCCTTTACTCTAGGTACCGTCTCTATTCTTTCTTGCTTTTCCATGTATTTCTGTTTGCGTCTTTTGCTTGCATTTTTCTTTACAAGTCCCATGGGTAGATGGACCCTTTATACCCGTACCCGGACCATAGTTGTGAACTCAGCCGGTCAATTAGTACAACTGAGTCTAGAACTGGATCTGCCGCCTCTAATCTTTGGAATTTCCCCTTTTCAACGCCTGTATCGACCGACTCCGTGTCTGTGCAGGACACCATGGCCAGAATTAGGGGAACAGCTATAGACCCCAATTACCGAGGCGGGGACTCGAACGAGTTATCGCCTGAAACTCAAGGCCCAGACGGGGAGGTTAAAGAACCATCCGGCGGTACCCCCGCCACCCCAAGTGATAGCATTCCGGGCTTCTACAACGAGGATACCTCCCCGACTGAGGAGGCTGAGCAGCCAGGAGCTGCCAATGAAGCTCCCAACTCCCCAGCCGGCTCCGATGACGGACGGGTTGAGAGCAGTAGCTCCAGCTACTTAACCGTATCAGAAGATAGTGAGGAAGCGGAGAGGCCTTCGTGGCAAAGCCGAAATGACCCTGTCATGATCGCCGTCTCCCTAAAGGACCGCGCCCTCATGCGGTCTTCACTTCTAGACTTTATTACCAGGCGACCTCTTGGTGAGGGGTACAAGATGATCGTGTCGGGGGAGTTCGGGACGGTTGTATGGGAAGATGACCAGCCCAACGCTAACAGCTGGTTTGGATGCTACGAAGCGGCTTTCCTAGCCGGCGTCCGCTTCCCCCTTCACCACACAATTAAGGCCATACTTAGGGGGTATGGCCTAGGCATTTGGCAACTCACCCCGAATTCTTGGGTGAACATTTTAGGGTACATCGCCGCCTGTGAGATGCAGGATCTCAACCCCGGATGGGAGGCGTTTGCCCATATGCACTATTTGAGCCGGAGCCCAGGCGGCTGGAGGGCCTGGTATACCTTGACTACTCACCCCAAATATATGATGACCTTGGACAAGCCGTCCAAGTGGTCGGACTGGAAGAACCGGTTCTACCTGGTTAAAGCTCCGTCTGAAGAGGAGAACAAGGAGTACCGGACCTACAACCGGAAGCCAAAGCTTTTGGGGCAGAAGTGCCGGCTGCCCCCTATCTCTGATACAGACCGGGTGGCCATTCTAGACTCTGGTTTCTTCGAATTGACCTCTACCTCTCTCACATCCGGAGAGATAATAAGGGTACCCAAGAACTGGGTTCCCAAACACGAATTTTTCAAGGACGAGTGTTTCTTGTCCGCTTGTGGGCTTAGCGGAATGTGGAAGACCAAAGGTTACGAACCCTAGCCGGTTAATTTGTTGCCGGCTGTCCTTTTTCTCTTGATTGCAATGTAAGATTCATATTTCTGACCGGATGTATTTTCGTTTTGCTGAAGAAGCTAAGAAGATGCTACCTTCCGCCAAGACACCCGCAAGGAAGGCTTCAGATATCCGCAAGGAGAATCTGGAGAAGAAACTTGCCGCTCAGGCGGCTAAAAAGGTTAGACCGCCTGACCTTCTCTATGTGCTTGGCTTTGATGTTGCTTTGGCTAGTTATTCATCTAACCGCTTGCGGTCTTGTTTCAAGACGGTGTTATTCCCCGTTCTTTACAAAAACAGATCCGGCAAAGGCCGTCTGTTGAGGAACCGGCACTCAAGGTGCCGAAAACTGCTTCTACCAACCGGGCTACTACCAGCGGTAAATCAATAAAGACCCCAGGCGGGTCTAACACTAAGAAGGCCTTAGAGGCCACTCTAACAAGGACCGTAACCGGTCCATCTGTTTCTGGAAGCCAAAAGGCTTCCCAAAAAGGTATAAACCCATTCGACCTCACTTTGCTCGACATACCCATGCGGGTAAAATCGTACTCCTTTCGCAACCGGGAGATTCTTCGATCCGCCGGCTGTCCGTTGGTGGAGCGTACGCAGAATTCTCACCGTCTGTTTCTGGTGCAGATAACTCACCACGCTGGCCGGACGCTGCTCAATACGCCCGGGCCATGCTGAAAGCCGTCCCCCGGGACGACAAGGAGGCGATTCCTGGAATCAATACCTTCAATGCCGACCGGGTTATGGTCGACCTGGCCGATGTAAGTAACTGAGTGCCCACCCGGCATATAATTTGTAATACACCCATCCGACCTTTCAACTTATTCCGGTTGCGTTATTGTTGCAGGCACTGCTCCGCGTGGAGGGGCTTAAGAAGGCCTACATCCGCAAACAGGAAGAGGTAAGAAGAGCTAAACGTTCTGCGGATGACGCACATAGCGTTGTTCACTATTCCACGATTGTGCATGACTTAGAAACTAAAGCTATAATCATGCAACAGGTGGATTAGGTCAAGTCCTTCCAACGGGCCCTCTCCGAGCAAAAGCTCAAGCTGGACAACCTCCAGGAGGCCTTGGATAACGCTGAAGACGAGCTGAAAAAGCATGAAGAGCCCCTCAAGCGGCTCGACCAAGCGGAGAAGAGCAGCAAACAGCTGCAATTAGAGAATGACCGCCTGGTCAAGGAGGCTGCCGATGCTGAGCGTAATTTCTAGTCCACCCTAGAGGCTGATTAGAGCCGGCTCATCGAGGAGAATGAGCAGGACTGCCAAAACAGAATGAAGAGGGCGTTCTCCATCATCCACCCGGGTGCAGACTACAACTTCTGGGAGCTCGCCTATAAGTATGCAGACCTGGCCATTCTAGCTGAAGAGGAGGGCCAGCCGGGGTCCGGACCGTATGAGCAATGGGTGGAAGCCGAGTTCCAGCGAATGCAGGCGGAAGCAACTGCTTTGGAGACGAAAGTCGAGGATGAGGATCCCGGCTCCATTCCCAACACCGACCCGACTCATCCGGAAGGGAGCCATTCTCAG